GGTCGGTGACCTAAATTACGCTTCCTCAAGCGCTAAGCTACGGCAGCCCCGCTGCACTAGTCAATGTTTGGACTCTCTACAGTAGTGGCAAACTACTTATGGCGCCCTGCAGACTCAAACGACAGGATACCCAGGAAGAGTAGATGATAAAATTCTCAGATAAAGAAGTTGATAATGTCATACTTGGTCCGATGAAACGACAGATAATTCAGTAACTGGCCTAGAAGGCGCAACTGGTTGTGGAAACAGGAATAAATGATGCATATTGCCATCTACTGCACAAATTGCCTACTGTTTATGGAATCACTACTACTCCTCCAGCAACGGTATTCTATGCTTATATGTATCCAGACGATTCTTAAAGTCAAAGTCAAATGTACTGCTGTCGTCTTCTCGATTATTCTCGACAGGTTGCGACATCAGTATTTCGTCGATCTGAGTTGCTAACCAAGCGAAAGCGTTGATTAACTTCCGGAACACGAATCGAGTTCTTATGCGGGCCCACACTTTTTAAGAAACTCGAGACTTAGTGCAGTCGCTATGTGATTTGTATCTGGCAAAGAATAAACTCGACACTTTTGAATCAGCAAATAAATGCTCATATCCTGTGCTAAAACACTTTAAATTGTGTCTGTTCGAATTTTTTAAGCTCGAGCTAAATCAGTACTCTGCTACAAAGAAACAATACTCGCGTCAATTTGACCTGCAACTATGAGCAATAGCAGTCTTACCAATACTTCGGTTGTAGATGATCCGGTTGACATAATTGTCGAAGGAGAAGCTTCGTCTAGTGATCAATGGCGTGTATTTCTAGGTCTGACTATCCTTGTGGCGTCCTACGTTCTTCGCGTAGAGATTGTGCGATTCTCGTTGCGCGTGGCTCGTCGGATTCTACCAGCAGTCTTTGCTTGGCTGCGAGAGTTTGAGAAGATGCTACTGCGGCCTCTTTCTTGGGTAGTATTCGTTCTACTCGGTTGGTTTTCAGCCTTTGTAATGGACTTAGAGAATCTCTTGAATATGGAATCGGGCTCTCTCGAGAGCATCATCACTTTGCTTCTCGGTCCCCCATTAGTGTGGGTTGTCATCTGCTTTTGCAATTACGTCACGTGGGGGATCGTTCGTGTTCAAGGCTGGAGTCGAGCCGTATCGAAAGATGATGATGATTATAATCGAGTCATGATCATTTCTGAGGGCATTGGGGTGCGTCTATCGGTACTGTAGCTTCTTCTTAATCGACCAATTTTTGATTATTTTCGCAGGTGATTAAAGTATTATTGGTGGCAGCCGTAGTATCAACGTGTATTATAGATGAGGTCGGGCAATATACGGACTTTGAGTCGGGCCAAGTGTCAACAGTGGCTGTGATCATGGTTGAGTTCGTGTTCGTGTTTGGTGCCCATTCTTGGGTACGCGACTACATCCACTTTTTAAGCTTATTAGACTCATTGCTCCAATTGTAATGTAGCTCAAGAATATAATGGGTGGGTTGATGTCGCTACAAGATGAACAGATTAAAAGTGGACTTCATGTGTCGTTTCAAGGCCACGAAGGCGTAGTGGAACGATTATTTCTTCAAGGTTTCTCATTGCGTCAGTACGACAAAGGATTAGTCTACATCCCAAATAGCATTATGCTGGAAAATTCAGTTACAGTGCAAAGCAAGAATTTAGACAGACGTTGCGTGATTCCTGTGCATCTGAGCTATTCTACACCGACGACAGCACTGCGCGCTCTCATCCAAGAGTTGGACAACTATCTGACACAGCACATGGCCAACTATCGCACTAATATGAAGAGTAAAGTATTGGGACTCGAGAAGCCGCGAGGAGGGTGGGATATGCTTCATCTTTACGAGCGCAGTAAACAACTTGCATCGGAAGAGACGCCGTCGCAAGGGCGTTTCTGGATCAGTATCGAAGCGCCCTATCTTTTGCATGTTGTCTATTATACCCACGAGCGACACATCAGGAAAATTCTGGCCGAAAAAACAGAGGTAAGTAGTTTGTGAAACTTTTTGTCAGGATTAATTACCTCTAAGCTGTTCTATCTTAGATCGTGCTTCAGATTACTGCAATCATTGCAGAGTCCAAATTGAGTTTATTTCGGGAACAAAATAGTACTCGCTCGCGAACTTCGACTCATCCGTCTGCGGTTAAATCTAATGAATATGATTCAAGCTTAAGTGATAAATCGACTCCGCTATCTGGCTTTCACAATCACCAACGGAGACGAGCAACGCAGGCAAGTGCGCCAATTGAGCGTCGTGCTCTTAGTGATGGCAGTTTATTGAGGCAACGTCGACCTTGTGAACTTCGTGGCAACCAAGAATAACTATCAAATGTCGAACAATGCTGGAATTAATGGGCTATTTGTTGTGCGTTGAGATTGAGCCGCTGAATTGTGTCGATTATAGCAAGGTTCACCTTAAAATTGCAAATGGTGGTGAAAAAATTCGAGTTTACTGATTATTGGTACAGCAGCTTACCTCAGTTTTCGCGGTCTCAAGCAGTTTGTAACTATTACGATCCAGAAAAACAAGCACTTTGACCTTAAACATGGCATAAATATCAACCTGCACAGGTGGTGTTGGTGGTACAATCGGGCGGCCAGTTCGATCGAACACGCTAGAAATTGCACTTGACCTTCCAACTGTCCGCGGTGTACTAGTGTTTCCATCGCCTAGTTCAGTCGTCTGATGTCGATAACCAAGTACGCTATCATCACTTTCTAATCGGCTTGCGTTACTTGATATGTGCTCGAAAGCCTGGCGCCGATTTCTCCGGATATCAGAAAGCGCTTCTGCGGACAAAGCATATGGCTGCAGAACAACGTTCAGCTCTTGCACAAAGTCTTTCATCTTCTGGGAAGAAGTCGAGGGGTGTAGATGCAGCATAAGTGAGTGCGTGTGAGCGTCTTGAGCATTGCCACTCGTTTGGTAATTATCAGCAAAAATTCCGTTCGGCACGTATATTCGCGATCCATCCTCTCGTCGCATGAGTGTTCTTGCCAGTGATACTCGTTCGATAAAACCCAGCATTCGCCGTACTTTGACCTCACTACCAGTTCGAAATGGCTCAGCAAAAATGAGAAACAATCCTGTTGCCACGTTTTTTAGCTAAAAACAAACGAAGAACATAAAATCTTGTAAGCACTGCATCTCTTTACAATGAATCAAATGGCATTGCACTCACGATGGTAAAACCAGAGAAAATAACAACTAATTCAACGCTTAGAAGCCCCGCAACAAGGACAAATCGCATGAGCGAGTTAGATAGGAAGAAGATATAAAACACTTCGATCAGGATGAAGACGAAATAGACGAATTTAATGGATTCAGTAATGACAAAAATCCGCGCGTCGTAGTCAGATGAAAATGGATCCAACTTAAAATACCGGACAAAAAGCTGCACACATGATAATGTCAATTTGAGCAAGGAAAACAAGGAAATATTATTGATGCGTACATTCGTTACGACTTTGCGCATGGCAAATGTACCGAGCACAAGTGGAACGGCCACAATGTACATTGAGTATTGCAAAATCTCGTCTTCTTCATCACCCAAGTCAAGTATGTGTCGGACTACTACATCGCGTACGAGGATGAGAAAGAGAAACCACCAGAGATATGTCAGCATGTAGTGTTGCACGTCTGCGATCCATCTATAGTATGAGGATAATTATATTAGTATCACACTCAACCAATGAACAGAGACAAAAATGCCCGCACTGCACACGCTGGTCAAGTCGGGCGCGAATTATATAAAGGAGTAGCTCGATAACTGGTCGAGAGAGGAAAAACGCAGCCAGTGTCGCTAGTATCGCCAATCCTACGCGCCATGAGATGAACGAGATCATCAATATAGTTAATTTGTATTATCCAGAGAAGTAAAAAAAAGCTTTTTATGGTTTTAGATGTTTGTTTAAATGTCATAGATGGCTACAGTGTCATAGCTCCAAGGCATCCACTCGACAAGGCTACATCTGCTACAAGAGCACAACAGGTGCTTTTTTATTGTGATGAGCATGCAAATCAAAATCCAATCCAACGTCTACTCAGCATCATTACGGATGCATCCACATCAAAGCTGTCCCAATCGATAAACAAATCAGAAGTATCCAACGTTGCCTGACGCTGGAGCCATTGTTGCGTTGGCTGGAGATTTAAAAACAGTTTCAAGATTAAATAGCACATGGTACCGTCACAAACGCAAAGTCGATCGATCACGTTACGCTCGCAGGTTGAAACTCACTGCGAGATGAACTAGAAAGGATAAGTCCACATTATGAGAGTGAGCCATCTTAATTTGCATCAGAAACGCCTCTTTTTGCCGAGATTCCAAATAACAATAGCGCATACATGTGAGCATACCCTAATATCGAATGCAACGAGCGTTGTGCATACTCCATACGCCTGACCATGAATACACTCGTGCCACCACATCGGCCGAATCAACTCGTATAGCCTTTCTCCTTCGCAAGAGCATCAACTAGCCGGAGCAAGAAGTCATCAATTTTGATTATCTTGAAGGAAAAATTAAAGGTAAGTTTGTTCGATTCAGTACCGCTGCCTGAAATTATTTTTATGCTTCTTTCAGGACTGCAAAGCAAGTTGACTAAACACGCGCGTGTCGCTAAACAAAGATAAATGCCATAATCGTTTAGATCCATCAACAAACTCAGCAAATAGCACCTTAAGATCCTTGATGTTTTGAAGCTTAAGAGTTAAATAAAGGACTTAGAAAAAAGGCTTGGTTCGACTCTTCTACTCGATCGCCAAAAAAACTGTTTTTTTAGGTTTGGTCGATGAGCACTAGCATCGATTGTGTCGATAATAGCAAACCAAGGTCGTGAATCCACAATGCTCAAAACTGATACATCAACATCGTCCATGAAAATCATTAAAATCTTCAATTGGAGCTGCAAGGAAATCACCATATTCGCGTGAATGTCAGTCATCACTGTACTGCATGATATTCTCTGTCACAAACCATTGCTTTTAGGTATTGCTTGTAAATAAGACCAGCCAGCTGCGGTTAAGACGCGACATTTGTCTCAAAATACGATGAAAGTATTCTTCCGGCTGCCAGACGAGACATTTACGACGGAGATGGAAAAGTTGTTGCAGTGGATATCATGTCGTTCTAGAATCTGACGGATATGCGCAAAATCGAATTTTATCAGCAACATTAAAGACAGCGACTCATACAATGCATTAAGATGGATGACGTCCTAGGTTGCTAAGAGTACCTGGTTCTGCGTTCATAAGGCCAATCACTGATCGAATTTCCTTAACCATTGTAAATTTGTTTTTTTTTGTTTTACAGTTCATTGCAAGTTAGATGCTTGTTTTCCTTCAATTAGAACACTGATTAAACATCTAGCTAGAATAGAAGCGCTAAGCTGTAGGCATCTCTAAATGTCATATTTTACTGCAAAACGATCGTTCAATTGTGGCCTACAGTATGCAAAATTAGCTACGAGCACTGGTTGACTGAGCACTTTGCAAGCTACTAGCGCAGGCAAGTAGAGCGATTTTCATGGCTATGTTTGGCAGCCATATTACTGCCATTGATTACTGCCGCAATTCCCTTTTTCAATAATCATCTGGTCTGAACGCTGCGGCTGCAAGCTTACTATTTGTAGTGCCAAAGCTACTCGATCGCTACGCCAGGGGTGTTCTCGACAGTGGTCAAATATATTACAATGCACTGCGTTTGAGTTCACAACTGCTATCAGTGCTGACGTGGCCTTGGATTTAAGCGATCAGGAGAACGTAAGAAAAAGCACGTATTGACGCACTACGATTCCACTGCAAAGTCTACTAGAATTACTCAGATACATACTAACTTTTGTTAATTCGAACGTGCATTGTAATATGCCCTCCTTGACTCGACCGCGGGACCCACATAACTAATGAGCCTCCATTTGACATTAAAAGACCAATTGCAGTTCTGTGCCACCGATGCATGTACAGTACCTGTTCCTGCATTGTTGAGAGTTTTTCACTCCATTTGACAGATGTTCCTGCTGGAACATCTACCCGTACGAAAGGCTTTGCACCTAAGATGAGCTCGACCGACATGTCACTTGTGTCACTGCTTTCGAAATAAAAGTCCACCATCCCATCTCCTTTTCTCGTCCATGTGCCGTAACTGCCTGTAAATGCTTCTTCCATCGTGCGAAGTCCAAGTGCATCGTACAGATTCCCGTCGTCAATCTCGCCGACAAAAAGTGTAGGTCCACAAGTCGGCTGGATAAACTGCGACACCATCCACGTAATTCCTGTCGGATCTAGGCCACTAAGCACAACGAGTGCCAAATTGGCTGCTTCAAGGGTGTAATCTGCTTCAGCAACTGATTTGCCTAAGTCGGTTGAGTTTCCTTCAATCAGCTGATCCACTATCACTCCAAACGTCCGTCGAATGAGATCACGAGTTTCAAAGGCAGCTTTTATAGTCTTGTTCTTCAGTAATTCGTGCATACAATTGTTAGTAGCTATGGGAATTTCTTGTAAAACAAGTGAAGACTCGCTGACTCTGATGCGAATATCAGAAGTTGTTGCGCTAGGATACTTCTGGTGAACCCTTCGGACAGCCAAAATGACATGGTCAGTGAGATTTTTTAATTGGTATCCGCATGTCGTGTTGGACTCGAGGAAGGTTTGAAGTTTTTCAACAGTAGTATCTTCGGTACCATTAATGACGCTTGTGTTTTGCAGAACAGCTATTACGTTAGTAGCAGTGGAGAGCATATCGTCGCCATGGACGATCGCAACCTTGACAATATTCTCAACAATGATATATACAACGTTAGCAAATTCGACGTTTGCTGGAACTTCTTTACCGAGACAATGGGAAACTGCAATCGGTAGGTCAAAGAGGACGACGTTGGACTGGTAAGCAATAGCGAGCATCTCCTCGACCGTCCCTTGTGGTGCCGTCGTACTTTGAAATCGAAGATAGTAAATAAGCGACTTGACTGCGCCTACAATATTGGCAGCACAGACGAAATTCTGTTTTGCGCTCTTGTACGAAGTAAAGATGGCGCCGAAAATTCCTGCGGTCACGACATTAAAGACTGCTGCTACTACAGATGCGGCCTTGCTTAAAATCTCTTCAAGACAATTGTCATTCTGTGGAATACATTCTTCATAACACGCCACTGGGTACGAAATCGGACACTGCGCCAAACAACTGATACCCTTAGCGCTGTATCCTCGAGGGCATGTTTGATGTTTTCCATACACAAATCGTTTTCTATAGCACGCCGAGTCCTTCGCGTTGCCAATTGCAGGTCCAACCCAATTTCGAATTTGATCCCCGTACCACGCAGAGCCCATCTTATCGGTCAGTTCCTTATTGGTGGCGTTCATCCTTGCCCAAATCACACCCAATTGGTAAACCTCGCCTTCAGCGCGACCAAAGAACCCACTGAGCTGGAACCCTTCCGGGGCTTCGACCGTAGACGAGCTATGCGTTGTTGTTCCTGCTTCGACTGAGCGGTTTTTGTTTGTGCTAAACTTAAGGTAGAATATGTGTGTTCGCCAATGCTTCTTGTCCCAATGAATCTCCATCTTGTTGACGTACTCTCCGTGTTCAAGAACCAAAGTATAATCTTTGCCTCCACACCCGCCATGAGATAGCGTCAGATCGGCTGGAGTAAGAATCCGCAGAATCACTCCAGTAATCTCGTCCTTCGCATGAATCGTGATCGTACTGGCACTTTGTCCAAACTTAACAGACTTAATGTCCGAAAATGCGACGCCTCCGTGCCCACCAAACACTTGACTAAGCTGAATATCTTCGTCCGACGTTGCGCCATAAACAATCTCGACTAGCACGAACATCAGCGCCTGCAACACTGCAAAGACCTGCATGGCTCGCACACGGTCACGTAGCTTGGCAACGCAATTGTTGCCTACCAGGTAGCTACATATAATGCACGAAATGGAGTCGGTTCACGTGACATGTGGCGAGGCAAAGCTTAGAATACGATCGCGATTTGAAATCAACTGTTTTCATGAGGACTTTTGACTTTTTAGTTTTGAGGTTATGCATGTTAAGCATCAGCATAAATAATTGCGCTCTGTTATATGATTCCATACGTAAACCTATTTTCAGGTTCATCTTGTATGCTGTCCGTTTCTTATCCAGATCATACACAGCACTTTTCGGTGCGATCAAATTGATGGTACACGCATGAATAATTCACTGTAAAAAAATCAAAATTTGTAAGTGGTATGTTTCTACCACATTTGTTGTTCTTTTGTTTAACCGGTTACAAAAATCTATAACAAACTTGCACCAATTTATATATATATATATGCATATAGATTTTTTTTTCAAATCTGTAGAAATAGTTCTACTTCAGCTCTTGATATGTTATTAAGCTATAGTATATCTGAAGTAGGTTCCAAGGGGTTCTGCAGCTTACCGATTAAAGTGATAGGTAGCTTCGGTATAGAGCGTTGCAAGACAGCTGGTTCCTTACAACACATTGCACAGCACGAGCTGACGACAGCATGCAACACGTGTTCAATTGTAATTTCTTAACAAAATAACAAAAACTAAGCTAAATAAAGTAGGTAAAAACCTTAAAAGCTTAGGGAAATTGACATCAGAAACCGCATTCAAATTAGTCGTAACACCTTGTGCCCGCAATTTTGATTGGCCAAAATTTTGATGAGAGGAAAGTATTGACTAGAAAGTTCTGCCACAGCACGAGAAGGCTGTCCCCAGGACGCGGATTCAAGAATCTGTCAAAGACCTAGTCCTTCCTGTCAAAGGTGCATGTCAAGATTTAAGTGAAATTAACTATACTAATATTACATTTATCATTTGTAAAAATAAATCCAGCCCGCGTTTTTGCGCATACTTTGCAACATTTTTGCCCATTGTTGACAGCTCATTTAGCGATGACTGTACCTTGAGTGCAGATATGATATTTTACTATTCCTTTAAATAGTAAAATATCATAAAGAAAGATGCTTTACTTTTGGAAAATTGTGAATCGCATCGCAGTTGACGTACAAATTGATCCAAGCGAACGTGTGAGTCGTCAAAAGGATACACAGAATGGGTTGTCCACTGTATTTTTCTGTTTAAATATGTGATTGCCGCGAGGCGGGCCTCCTATCGATATCGTAGAAGACGTCCGACAATAAGTTAAGTGACGAACCATTACGTCTCTCGCTTAAGTGTTGGCATGCTTACTTAGTTCAATTTTGTGGTTTGCGAAGGATTCACAATTTTTAAAAAAGAAGACTTTAATTCTTGACTAATCCAAAACGCGAAATCATTGTATTTAGACTTGAGGCGATGATGTGATTCTTGATGTTGACAATTAAGTATTCGAATTAAAGGACTCCAATGCCGTAAATTAAGATACTGGCTGTCCGAGCCTGACCCAATTGTCGACAGTGTAACAGAAGAACATGTGACGCAGTACATCATCAACCAAATCAAAAGGCCATCGTCGTCCATTGCATTTGATTTTGCCGCTACGCATTCGAGCGATCGTTTTGCTCCAGGTGCCAGCCCACGACACGCGTCTTTCGAATGTTTATCATCAAGAATTACCTGATCGTATCTCAGGATTATAACGTAGGATGAAGCTAAAGTTCACACGTGCCATTGCATCCCAATCAGATTCCACGACACCGGAAAAAGGCATGAGCTACGTCGTCATTGAAAATCGAATACGTTTCACAGCCAAACAAAAGAAAGAATATCGAAAAATCTTCGTCTGCACATCATCGTTTGCTTTGCTTAAATTGGCGCAAACGTCTTTGCTGTGTAATTTTCTCGTAAATGAACCTGCAGAGTTGTCTGACAAGCCACGTCGAAATTTTTTGTCTGCATCAGAGCGCTACACGCTTCATGTGACGGTGTACGGATCAAGATTCAATCCAACATTCCCAATCATTTTTTCGACTGCATCCACATCAAGCTGTCGTCATTGGACGAATCAATAGATATATCGCCAACGATATCGCCGATTCTAAGGTTTTCACAATGCCCGAGGCTGGCGTCATGGTCACTGCATTTATTGAGATAATTTAAAACAATCGTAAGATTAACAAGCAGGAGACACTGTCATCAACAAAATTCCAAGAGAGATCAAATGATCCAATTTTTTTCGCAGGGTAAGGAAAGTAGTTGCTCAATGCAAGTTGAGTAAAACGGAAACGATAGGTCCACATATCCATTATATTCCTTGCATAAAAATAGCCTCTAGGACGTTGCTGAGAATTTAAGCGAGAAAATTATCTACGCATGCTTGTGACCATACACTGGCATCGACCGCACCAAAGGTTGCGCGTACCCCATTCGCCTCGCCATAAAAAAAAACGATTTCACGACATCGATCATCAATTTTTTATCGCTCTATCATCTCATTTAACGAGCATCGAATAGCTGGGGCAAAAAGTCGTCAACCTTGATCGTCTGAAAAGGCCCAAGAATGAATAAAGGAGAATGTAGGGGTGACTCCATTCGTTCCAATGCAGCTGCCTTAACAGATTGAAACGCATGCTTTAAATACTCCAGTAAACTTGGCTCAGAACGTGCTTGACAGTGATCGCTCAATTCGTCATTACCCCGAAGACAGCAGTTTGAAGATGCCTTGATGCTGCAGCTCACAAGTTAACCAATCGTCTGAGAAAATGACTCGGTTTGACTTTCTTCTTGAGCTTGATCACCGAGTTGACCCTAGCCAGCTTTACATGTGGGTTCTTCGATGTTCGGTTGATATACGATACGTTAGCCGTGTCTGTCAAGGTAAACAGAAGTATTAAAGTTAGAATGCCCAGAATGGATTCATCGCCGGCAGTGTCATCTAGCAACAAAACTCCTCAAGCCATCAAAATTCCGAACGCAGCAGCCATAAGTGAATTTCGAATTATAAGATAAAACCAGAATCAAAATATTGACGATGTTTGACATCAGTTACATTTTGCATCTTTTTTAATGACTCCTACTCATCTAAATCCTTCAAAACTTAGTATAATCGTACTTCAACCAATCGACTAAGCTCTTCGACCCACTGAAGACATCTTTCTCGCGCAATCGTCTTGCCTCGGAAGCACCGCCAGCACATGTCTTTGTTTGTTTTCTTAGCTCTGGCATATTCGCAAAAAAATGCTATTGATTAAACTCTTCATCCAGCTTTTTGCCTTCATTTATCAAAGCCTCGATCATTGTAGTTTTTTCGCTTTATCAAGCTCGTCCGCGCCCGAATTCAGCCGCACACCGCCGTTCCCAGCAAGAGATTTCTTTACTTTGTGCGCAGCACATTTGATGTTGTTCTTCTCTCTACTTCTTGATCTACTTCTTCAAGTCATCCACCCATTTTTTCTTCTCACCTGTTCAATATTTTACAATTAAGTATTACATCTGACAAGTTTCTCTAGATACCGACATGCGCTGATGAATAGGCAATTACCCAACTTTACGCTTTTGTTTTTTTACGCTGCAGGTTAACCTACGCTACGGCCCCAGCACTTCGCAAAAATATTGATAGGAAGTAAATCTCACACTTTGCTATTGTGCACTTACTTTGTCGTTAGGCATATGCTTAGTATATCAAAATCTGCGTTTGCCGACTCAAAAATTATTTAGAGCGTGATGGAATACATGTCCGAGGCCGATCGTGAATCCAGTACTTTCTACTACAGTGGATTATAATTCCACGCAGCTAGTTATAGGCTGCTTTTGGATTACGCATTCGTAGTAGGTAAGTATAGGCTACTTTCGGATTACTCGGCTGTACTGCGTGCAGGACTTTTTTACAAGTAAGTAATCGATATATTTCCTGAGAAAAGAATGATGAAACATATGTTCATGCTGAATGGGCGTGTTACAAAATTTTGTAGTGATAAATGTCAAAGTATCACTTGCATAATAAGCCGATAAAGGTGGCCATAAGATCGACCGACCTTTTGAAATATCAGTAAGGCCAAAAGTACACCAGCCTTTTCATATAGTTTGCAATCTGACCATCGACCGTTTCAATACAGCACCGTTTGACGATATGGTTAATCGGTAAGTCCACAAAGATTTCATAATTATTTTGGCGAAAGTAGCAGTATGCGATTTAGAAACAATACGTCGCAAAGGATTTACATAAACAACGCGATTTTGTATACACTAATAACATCAAAATTTAGGCATGGAACCACACCGTACAGTCTCAAGCTGTAGTCTTAAAGTTGTATCTAGTTTTTAAAAGAACGAAAAGGCTAGTAAACTTTGTAAGAATAGCAGCGTTGTGTGTTAGTGCTTTAGCACGATATTTATCAAGTTACCGAAAGTGTCACGTCTTCATTCACTCCCTGCTTAACGCTTAATACGTATTCTGCATTGTTGAATTAACTTGACCATATGGCCCTTGAGAACTACGTTCAAGTCATAAATGTTTAGCCGCCGATCACAAATGCAACCCACCGCACTCAGAATACACCGCATGTACTGTGAGAAGTATGATCTATAGAGACCTTCAATTGTAAGCCGCTTCTTGATCTACTCGCTACCACATTATTCATTCTAGTTGAAAGACAACAAGAGCGAGGACTACGAGATGCTCAGAATACTATCGACCCTTTTTCTCGCAATCACTGGAATCTACTCACAAGTGGAGCAAAACCTCCAGCAAAGTGAAAGGTTTGGTGGCCCTCACGGAAAAGAGTTTTCGGATAAACCTCTGATTGTTGCTGGACAAACCGTGGGATCCATTACGCTTTACGGTGGCGAGCGATCTCATGGAATTTCATTGGAAGTGACTAGTCCGACTGTAGCTACATTTAGGCATGGATTTACTGAGGGGACTGGCAACACCCTCGTTTTGGAAGCGGGCGAACGCATTACGTCCATGGAAGTGCATTGGGGTAAAGCGGGACGTCGCACGCGTATATTCTACGTCAAGTTTATCACGAGTGCCGAAAACGAGATTTCAAAAGGGTCGATGACCTCCAACAAAAAAATGGTTACAGCACCAAAAGGATATGAGCTTGGGGGCTTCTTTGGACGTGCTGGCGGGGAGATCGATGCACTTGGAGCAATCTGGGCTCCATCTTTAGTTGTATCTACACCACCTCCTAGTGCACCGGAATCTCCGGCGCCAGCATCTGATCTCGGAATTACTATTAAGAACGCTGTTCAGTTGAGCGAAAGTTTCGGTGGACCTCATGGCACTGAGTTTTCTGATAAAGCAAAAGTGGGTCCAGGACAAATTATCGAGTCACTAACTCTTTATGCCGGAGACCGTATCGATCGACTGGAACTCAAAATCATGTCACCTCGAGCTGAAATGTTCAATCATGGATATACGGGAGGAGAAAGACTTCAGGTTCTGCGACTTGGCGAAGGCGAACACATCATATCGATGGAGGTTCATTGGGGCAAGCAAAACGGCCGAACGCGTGTTTTCTACACGAGCTTCAGCACAAATAAAGGCAATACCCTTGCTTCAGGATCTCAAACACGGGACAAGCATACGGTGACTGCGCCAGAAGGTTTCCAGCTCGGTGGATTCTTCGGTCGTGATGGCCATGCACTTGATAGATTGGGCGCAATTTGGTCGAGCATCGAGACCGTCACACCTGTACCGACAGAAGCACTCGAAGAAACAGCTTACCATTTACCAGTCGATGGTGATGGAAGAGCGCCGCGAAAACGAGCAAAGATCTCGAGCGAGTCCTTCGGTGGACCACACGGCAAACAGTTTTCGGACTTGGCCTTGGCCAGATCTGGTCAGATCATCAGCTCAATTACGATCTGGAGTGGTGAACGGCCACACGGTATCGCTCTTGACGTCACAGATCCGATCCCGGAGCTATTTTACCACGGTGGTGAAGGCGGAAAGGAGAACAAACTTATACTGGGAGCGGGTGAATATATAACGTCAATAGAGCTTCACTGGGCCAAAGTAAGCGGCTCAACGCGTATCGTTCACCTAACTTTCAACACAAGTGCAGGTAACTTGGTATCAGGAGGAAAGCGAACAGATACGGGTGAGACTATTTTCGCACCAGAAGGCTATCAGTTGGGCGGATTCTTCGGTCGCGAAGGGGACGAAATCGATTTATTAGGAGTGGTTTGGACTAGTATTGAAGCCATCTCCGAACCACCTTTCACCAGCAATAACGCTCTGATAGAGGAGGAAATTGTGTTGAGCAAAGTCCGTGGTGGCCCTCATGGAGTAGCGTTCTCTGATATTGAGCAGATTGTCCTGGGAGAAAGAATTCATTCTCTTACTTTGCGAAGTGGCCGTCGCCTTGATGAAGTTGGCATAAGACTGTTGAAGCCAAGTGATCTAACGCTGACCCACGGTGGTGCAGGAAATCCTCCACTTACGTTAACACTCGGTCCAGACGAGTTCATTAACTCTATGGAAGTTCACTGGGGCAAAACAAATGGCCGCACGAGCATATTTTACGCCAGTTTTAACACCAACCTGGGCAATTCCGTTTCATCAGGAACAAAAACTAATCATTTTGCCACAGAGACTGCACCGGAGGGGTATGAGCTTGGTGGATTGTTTGGTAGAGCTGAAAGTGAAATTTTTCAACTCGGGGCCATCTGGATTAAAATTGGCGCTAAACACAAAATGCTTACAGATGTCATGGGCACTGCGTGGCATGGCAGTATCATTCGGAACTGGGTGGGACCTACGATCGGTGCAGATAAGGACTCGGCTTGCTATCGGATGTATCAACCGTTCAATTCCAAGAGGATGTGCCCTCTTGGCTACAGCAATGACAACAACGACTGCGTCGCTCAATGTCCCCTCGCCTATCCTGTGGAATGTGGTTATGAGTGCATACCTCAGAACGATGACTGTGCACTGGCAGTTGCTAGCAAAGTAGCGTCCGTCGCCGCAGTGGCGCTCAATGCAGCAACTGCGGGAATTTTCACAAGTGTCAAAACGCTGTACAAAGGAGCGAAACGCATCTACATGTGCGCTGCAAACATCATTAACATCATTAGGCAACTCATCTTCTACATTAGGTTTGTTCAAACAACGGCGCCACAAGGAGAGGTTGAGCAATTACTGGCGGTGTCGTATCAGTCAAACATCGTGCTTACTGATTTGCCCATTGCCATTTACGCTTGTCTTGGTATTCCTACTCCCAAAAAACTGCAATGGGCTAGTTATGTTGTACTTACTGTGCAAACAATCGTTAAGCAAACGATCATAAATGGAGACGAAATAATTTCTTCAGCAAATAACGTCATCGACTTGCTTAAAAACTCAAATGCTATCAACAGCTCGGCAGATAGTGTGACGGAGCTAGACGACTTCATAGCTGCAAATTCATCTTGTGGATTCGAGCTCAAGCAGCTGACTGATCGTGTGTTGTTGACTGTCGAGGAAATTCGCAACAGTACGTCGAATGCCGACGTGAATGATATCCGCGTGACGATAAGTAAATCACCACTAGTACTAATTGACATTCCTTCCGTCACAAACAATTGTATGAAAGAGATGCTTGTCAATAAGACAAAAAAAGCTGCATTTGAGACGCGAGATTTACTTCGAAAGACGATGGAAGTGATTATTCAGCAACTTGTTGAGACAGCGACAACAGATATGGGGAAGGACGTGGCTGAAGACCAACAGATTCTGGAAGCTGCAAATTTTGGACTCGTCGTACTCGGTGGCTTGGACCCCACGGGTATAACTCATATGGTATCCCAATTTGTGCAGCCCGTTTGCGGACCTACTGGATTTATCGGTGAGATTGACGACGGCAATTTATACGATGCTTTGGGAATGTGGGTGATAGATGAAGCATTTCGAGGTAGTCACGGCGCGTGGACGAAAAAAGGTGATGGAGTTGTACGCATAATTCTTGAAAGTACGGATACGGAAGACGTAACCGTGGAAATCCAGTCCGGTGGCGATGACTATGCTGAAGTAGATGTGGCAGCGGGTGATACTGTGGTCTGGGAATCGACCGTTCCAGAACTGCAAGACAAAACCCTCTATTTAGACCGATGGCGTACAGGATTGATGGGATTGCCCGGTACCGGTGGTGGATCACTGCTTCTTTGGGTTCCGCGAGCTGCAGAAGGAGGTCACTTAACGCTACATGCCCGGATCAACGTAAGTTAAAGTCATTTTTATTTGTTACTTCATGGTGTATGTTGTTGAGTTTTCTAAGGTAAAGCGAGGATACCTAACTTTTGTAGATGTTTTGATACTTTTCATGGTACTAAAAGAGAGTTCTCGTTCACTTTCACTTCTGCTCCGGCATCTACAAATGTGTGCTTCTTGCATCTGGACTTCCTCGTATTTTATAAAACTATGACTCATATTCTTATAATATTAGCTTTTTGAACTGGGCAAAGGTTGAATGAACAACACTACCATCATTATACATTTTTACTGTTGAGCTGGTGATTTGATTTTTTTTGCTCAAAAGCAACGCTCGAACGCACTGAGTCTGATTCTGTATTTGAGTACAAAGGACAAAATACAATATCAGAGTGATCGTACCATCTAATACGTTAGGCATATTTTCAGAACCAAAGACAATCAAACTTATATAAACTAGTACATTCTAGCTATTGCTATTATTTGGGTGGATCTTGGTTTCTCATTCTTGGTGCGGCATTCTACCTAATTCTCGATACGCTTGTGTCATTGGATTCCACAAATTAAAAGCATCTTCTGTGCAAGATCCCATGGCAACCCTGGAAACAGTTGTCGTCACGTTAGCTCTCCGATCCAATATATAGCCAATAAAATTGGACCCTGATGTGGAGAAGAGGCAGGAATATGCAGTGTTGGGCCTCGTTTAGTTAGCATCTTCACGATTTACCCCTATCGAGACAAGAGGTCGTTATCTTTCGGCGTCCAGGGCATCCTGCAACGGCTTTGCTTGATACCTCGCACAGATGACATTTCTGACTCTTAGAGTATATTATTCAGACTGGGATTTAGGGCCAAGACCCTCTAAATAATTTACAATATCAATGCTCAGATAAAGAATGCTATACCTGAAGTTGATCATCCCAGCTAACATTTAATATTGATGTATACGTTGGATCTTATATCCTGAAGAAACCTTGTTTAAAGCATTGTGTAGGGTTAGCAGCCTGCGCGTCCCGCTTATCTCTCTACTTAAACTTCGTTCTGAGTTCAACAACATAGCTGTTCACCATGGAACTTTCCCATGGTATTCTCGAGCCTCTCGTTGAACTTCGAATAGCGATTGTGAAATGGTGACATAATAGTATGACATGGTACATTCCCGTTGGATCTCTCACTAAGACGTGAATCCTGTCTGAATCACATGCCATCTTTGTCACCTGACCATCTTTATCAGTATCCATCCTCTTTGAGGATCGATATTCCAAAAAAATTACAACGTCATTATGACCTCTACGAGCATTTATCCCGCCGTAATGTCTTTATCAAAGTGACATATCCATTCTATGGCATAAGATGCCGTCGTGAAGAATTGGCCATTATGCTAGATTCAATTTTGTTGAGGAAGGCGGATTTTTTTAAACAAAAATAGCCAAAGTATTTCACTGCATCATGTTGAGTAGTGGAAGGCAAATGCCGAAGTGAATTAGTTAGCAGCTACACAATCTACCCTTCCTACATGTCTGTAACTACAGTCCTGTGCGTACCTTCTTGTTCCCTGTTCCTCTGCAGTAGCCGCCCTCGAGCTTCTCCCTGTGACGCCCCGACAAGATGAATAGTCGAGGGAAGGAGTTTTGGATGTGATCCAATCACATCCAACAATCACTCCATTATCACCCAATCAGATCTTGCCATACGTGATTTGTGGATCCCAGTCATCATTCGTCGAGTCAGTTGGCTCGTCCAGCTCTTATTACGCGGT